GCCATGATGCCAAACCTTTCTGACTACTAATGTGGTATCTTGGAATAAACACCCAACATGTGTGTGTTAACCATGAACTTGATTAAAGATCATGAGAAAAACAAATTATAACGTGAAAGTCGATTTCTCTCTCTAACTGTTTCTCTCGGCGCAAGTTAACGTGGTTAGCTAACCTGCGCCTCGAAGCCACGGGAGGGAGGGGAAGACCTAAGCGGAACCAACAGAAGAATGTAACGGATGAGCAGCGTTCCTCAGCAACTAGGAATGCTGTGTTAGAGCTATTTGTATCTCCAAAAGGGCTACGAATTGAAGAACCAGAGGAAAGATCTATTTCGATAAACATGCAAGCTGGAGAAAACAGAGATGAAGGAGATCTAGCTATGAACAAAGGGAAAATGAAGGAAGGAATGAGTACCCCAGCTCCAATGGTAGTTACTGCTAAAGGAGACGAGACGGGGAGGAAAGAGCAAGGGACTAAGCAGAAAACAAATGGAACAGTACCATGCAATCAAGGTACTGTAGAGAAAACTAAAGATGATGGAAAGCAGACTGAGTCTAGGATCAAAACATGGGCAAATGTGGTGGTTGGGAACAAATTGGCTATGAAGGGCATGAATCTGCAATTTATTGCCCCAATTGTGCAAAATGGTGAGAAAATGGTGAAGCTAGAGGCTGAAGATGTGGAACAGGAGACTGAAAAATGGAAAAATGCTATTGTTATATACGTAATAGGTGAATCACCCTCTATTGGAGCTATGGACAGATTTGTGAATTCAATGGGTAAGTACTCAACGAGACCTCAGATCTACTACAACAATGAAGACTATTTCATTATATGATTCAGTAGTATTGAGGAAAGGGACCAAGTTTTGTACTCAGGACCACATACAATCAATAATCGACCAATAATTATGAAGGCATGGTCGGAGGAGTTCAATCTACATGATGAAGTTCTAAAGACAATCCCATTGTGGGTTAAGTTGCCCAATTTACCCATTAATTGGTGGAGTATGACTGCATTAAGCAAAATAGGAAGTGCCCTAGGTAATCCTAGTTATCCTGATGAATGTACGACTGGAGCAGTTAGGATCTCATATGCTCGATTACTAGTAGAAATGGATATTACTAAGCCCCTTCCAAGACAGGTGAAATTACAGGATCCTAAAGGGAAGAGATGATGCAGGAGGTGAGTATGACTGGGAACCTAATACTGCAGTAAGTGTTTGAAAAA